ATATAATTTTGCATTCCAACAAAAATTAAGACTTTTGAAGATTCTCATGAGTTATGCTGCTGTGCTAGGTTCATACCTAAGATTTTTAGAAAATCCCTTAATTTAATTTTTCTTATCATCTCTGATAATGCCTCAACAAACTGCAACGCCATTCATGTTAATTAAACTATCAATGTCAAGTCTAATTCATCTGGTTTGGTTTGTAATGGCTAAAAACTAATAAGGGCCTTCTGATTCAATGTACTGCAGAGAATAAAAGAAAGAAGAATTCAGGCCAAATCCTCATAAAAATGATCATAAATACGAAATTTTGTGGGCTAGCTCAAACTTCAGCAACTATTATTACAAGTTATAATTCTGTTTTAAAAAGAAGTGAGACATTTAAAAAAAATGAAAATGAAAATGACCTCATAGACCATGATAAAATATAATCAAGTTCTCCCAAACGTCAAACAACAAAAGATTGAAGAAGAACAATCAGCTAGAGTGTTCAGACATGGGGGGAAAAAAAGAGCCAAAGTGCACTACTATATATTCCCCTGGTTATATTTATATGGTAGAGAGAATATTAGTTTTTATTTTATTTATAAGAAACCTTAATGATTATTGAGTTAATATTTATTCTTTACTCTTTTGCCTTTATTAAATGCTAAAAATGTTATTAAATGTTAAAGTATTTTATTTTTAAAGTATATATATTTAATAGGAATAAGGTTCAACACTTTGAATTTTTAGACATAATTAATTGGTCTCGTTTGGTTATTAGAATGGAGTGTAATGGAATGGATTAGAAAAAATCAAAACAAAAATAAATTAACCCTTTCTTTCATGGTAGGTATAATAAAACTTATTAATATATACTACAAATATAAGAATTATCACACCCGCCAAGCTATTTATTCATTGTTTTATGCTAGGCACCCATTTGGAGCCAAAACCCTAAATTGGCTACTTGTAAGGGCAAAAATATAATTTTCATGGACTTTGAGACAAATACCTAGATAGAAAGTACCCACTGAGATCATGATATTGATATAGAAATCACTTCCATGTTCCAGGGAAAACTTTAAAAATACATTCAAGACATCTTTCTTAAATTTAATCAGTGTTTCAATTGTACTATATTGTGTTTCCTTTGTTACATGTTCTTTATGTTATATCATTAACTGGTCTCAAGAAGCTCTATCTAACTAAATAATAATCTTATTATGCGTATTACATACATTTTGTCTCATTTTTATTGGTTCACATCATCACAAGTGCCACATCGATATCTTACACGTTATTGTTGCATCCTATTGTGTCTAGTTGTATTTGATTACTTCTAGAATGGATCTTAACATCCCTAATGCCTAGGAAAGGTATAAAAATACATGGGAAACATAATAAAATGGATGTGCAACATAATAATAATATTTAAATTATTATATATTGAATTGTTAATATTTTAATATGATATTATTATTCAAACATAATATTTTTAATTACTTATTGGTATTTTTGCTAGCAGTTTTGATCGATTAACACTCAGTAGCTAATTAAATTGATTGGTCAAAATCTTATTTTGATATTTTACAAGTGGTAATAAATAATATTTTTATCTTAATATTTATATGTAATTTTGGAGACTTAATTATTATTAATTTTTATATAGAGTACTTATATGGGATGTTTTGGATCCATTTTTGAAATTTTTGAGATTTTTTTCTACATTTTTTAAATCAACTAATAGTTAAAATTAACTTCTTTAACAGTAAGATGTTTAACGCATGATTTTCAAAAGTTGAAATGAAAAATAGTGAATAGTTAAGGGGCAAAAATACCCTTTAACTTTATAAAATATCTATGTTTAATTTTTTTTTTAGTTTTTACAAAACTTAGAGAGAATAAATCCTAGAGATAATACTTCTGAACTATTCTCTTATCACTTGAATTCAATCAGTCATGAAGTACATGCTTCTATAGACTAAAGTACATGTAAACTGCTTAACCACTTGGCTAAAACTAATTGCGTCCGAGACTTGAAACGAACTAATAATAACACAACACTTGGGCTCAGGCCCAATATAAAAGTTCTAGACTAAGCCTAATATACTAACACCTCCCTTGCTTGGGAAAACAAAAAAAATGAAGCGGCAGAGCAAACCACCCGCAACAGGTTCCATATGACCAACGGCACACATCTTATTGTGACAATACATATAAAAAAACAGCAGATTGGGCTTTTCATTAAGACATCAGCAAAATGGGCTGCAGTAACATAACCAACCCGAGCAAGGCTTGCCTCTATTTTCTCTTGAATGAAATGAAGATCCAGATCAACATGTTTTGTTTTTGAACGCAACAATGGCTTAGCTGCAGAGCTACAATGCCTGAATTGTTATGCAAGTCCAATATGGTCTCATGCCTCAACTGACAACACTCTCATAATCAATTATATATCCAATATTAAATTCTCAATAAATGTTTCAACAGATGCTCATAATTAAAGTTACTGCAAATAAGCTAGTCATACAAGTCTTGTAGCCTTAGGCCTCAACTAACAGCTCTCACATAAGTTATAATAAAATAATAATAAAATAAACAATTAATCCCAATGAAATAAGAGTCCAAAACTGGCAATAGATATTGTTCTTTAAATTAAAAAGTTGGAGTTAATTTAGTCGGGAGATATCTATCCATTGCCCTCAATATCTCAGGGAGATATTCTTTGCTATTAATAGTGGCTATTCCTTATAATTACCAAAAAAAGACAAAGTTAAGGCTGTGTTTTGGCTAAGCCTTAAGTTTTTGGTTGCTTTTCCTTTACTTCATTAGGCTTACCTAAAAATATTCATAACCACATAATGAGGACTCAAAAGTCCGACAAACCTCAAAAAATTTATAGAGTAAACTAGGCAGGTTAAAGTCAATTAAGTGCAGCAGATTCACTTATATATTTTATTTCAACATAGATAAACATAAAGGAAAATATGCATACATGCATGTATGAAATTTCATTCTTATCTCCTCGTTATGGCTCCTTGGACTGAACTCATGAGATACCATAATTTACAGGATCTATTCATGTGATGATTGGACTTCACCATGCTCACCAATAGTAAGTTACACCCTTGCTGAAAGGCTTGACACTCACCACCAATCCATAGGTTGCCTCTCTTTAAAACTACTCAAAGAGCTAGGCATCTTGTCCCAAGGGCTCCAACCATGTGAGATAATGAGAGCCCTAAGAATGGCTAATCATGGTGCATGTGCGGGGTGGTGGTAGATCAAGTGATTAATCATAAATTCAAATCATTATCACATAATTATCTAAATAAGATTCCCCATACTTGATGGTTTTATGAGAAAAATGATAAATAAAAAAGGTGAAAAATATTTAACGGTTGCTTAGAAACAATTGTCAAGTATCTAAATAGATGCTTGACAATTATTAGTTAATAATCATCAAATACATAACACGCGCACATACACACAAATATATTAGACACTTGTTTAAAGATAACTATCAAATATAAGCAAGATATACTTGATGGTTATCTTTAAATCAGCATCAAGTAGATAATATAAAAAGAATTTTTAAAAAATATATCTATGTGGTGCCTGTTCTGTAATAACATAACTATCAAGTATCTCAGGTATATACTTGATGGTTATTTTAGAACAAGCATCAAATATGTATTATTTGATGGTTTTTCTAAAACAATTATCAAGAATTGTGTTTTAAAATTAGATTCGTTAATTGTTTTGTTCTCGCTCTAGACACACCTAAACCTCTTGAAAACCCTTCAGACCATTGCGAAAACATATTGTCAACAATCTAATCATGATTTTGCACTATATTGACATTGGGTTCATGATTATTGTGCTCATTTGCTATGGTGTTCATCGAATGTGTTCACTCTCATGCCCTCCTCTCTCATGTTTTCTGTGTTCTCACAACCCTTGAGGTTGGTTGTTTGATTTTTCCATCATCAATCCTTCTTTTGAGTTCTTCATTAGGAGATGTTCATGATTTCGTTTTTAGGTGATTTTTAATTTTGATATTCTGAGTTAAAGAATCTTCCTATTATTTTTTAAGTTAATTTGAATATTTCCGGTGGTGTTGCGTGCATTCACTTACTCTCTTATTAGTGTTTCCTATTGCCATATAGACAGTTTGTGTTGCTATCGCTAAATGATTTTTAACTGAGATGGTTTGATGAAATAAATAGCTGATTTATGGTTGTAACCAAATCTTATTTTCTTTATAATAAAGAGTTCACAAGGTACCTGATAAGCATTGTTTTTGTATCATTGTGATATTTTGATTAGTAAGAATGTGGTTAGATTAAAATGTCTTTGCTTTCTCAAAGTGCTTCCATTCTGAAAGCTTAGGGGAAAACTTGAGCTATGTGAGTTTTGATGTTGAATTCGCTTTGGATATGATGTCGTTTTGACTGAATCTAGTGTTATTATATATTGGATTTAATTTTCTGTAACTTAAAGTCCTGATGATTAGTATTGTTGCATATTTTGCTATTATGTGATGTTAAAACATAGGACTGAATTGCAATAATTTTGAACTGAGTATTGTTGATGTTTGGTTTTGGTCATTCAAAGGAATTAAAATTGTTGGTGGTCAGTTCTATTTTTATTAAAAATGGGAACAAAATGGGAGAGGTTGGAATGTTAAAAATTCGTATTCTCCCTTAATCTATCCACATGTCTCTTTACTTTTTTAGTTTTTTGTCATCTGGCAGGCTAGGTAAGGAAAGTGCCAGCCTGTCACTTGCTAACTTTAGTATCAATATATCTATAAAATAAAAACCTTGCTTTTTTCTGAAATTGTGATATTGTCATAAAGTTTTTCATGTCTAAATATTTTCTTTGCAGTCGCAAACTGTAATAACCCTAAAAAAATAATAATATAAAATTAATTAATTAATTAATAATACTAAAAAATTAATAACAAAATATATTTCGATTGTATTTCTATATAAATTTTAGAGTAGTTATGTCACACCCCAAAAATCAGGTGTGACCGGCACGGGATATGGGTACAAAACTCATGTCCCTTAAGCCTTGATCGGAGAAACTCTGAAATTAATATATTAAACATACTAATAGAGTAAATAAAAAAAATTGTTACAATATTAAATCAGATATTCAATTTTAAAAGAAATGTAAGGATCCTACCTGTAGTATATGTGGAGCACCTAAGGCCAGACACCAACGTAGTTATAAAGTTCAAATTTTTCATCAAATTAGGATTTGACTAAAATAATTCTTCTGCTTCAATTCAGCAATAAAACTCCTCAGCGAATATCTCGAGTCACGAGTTCAATTATACCATCTGAGACCAAAATATCTTTTCCAGTGAATAACGTCCCAACAATAAATAATTGAACATGAATAAAAGAAAAGTTTGAAGCAATGCAATTAAAAAAAACAACGATTTTCATAAAAATTTAATAAACTTCAAAAATAAAATAATTTTATAAAGTTTAAATAAAATCTTGAATTATTAAAATATCATATCAAATATTATTATCACTTGATTGTAAGAAAGTAAATAAATAAAATAAATAATTCTAAATAATTCACTAATTAAAAACCAATGGAATGTAAAATCATCAAATAATCAAATTCATATTATAGGGACTTATCAGAACAATTAACAAACGTGGACACAAAGTCCACGAGGATAAATAACCAATTGCGGCTCTTGCCACGAAGACAAACGTGGACACACCGTCCACGAGAGTAAGTAACCAAACGCAGCCAAAACCACGAAACAAACGTGGACACACAGTCCACGAGGGTATGTAACCAAACGCAGCCAAAGCCACGAAACAAACGTGAGTACGATGCTCACGAATAACCATCCCTCCGTTCCACGTGCGTTGGCCATCGCACGGGGCTAGCACCTCCTATAAACACCCTGCTAGCTAGGTGTACCATGGCGCGCCAAGGGCTAACGGAACTGCCGTTAGCAACCAATGTTCTATATAAAGTCCCCTTTTAAAATCATTTTCAAACATGCGAGAAAATTATCACTTTTTAGATACAGTTCTCATTCTCAAAATCAAACTCGCATGAATACTTTTAGGCATTAAAACTTGCCAGAATCAAATTTCATATCAGATGCTCATGCTTGCATTTATTGAAAAAAATTCGACGTCGAACTCGCATGAATCATTCTCTGTATCAATTCAACATTTGATAAAATAAAAATCTCATAATCAAAGTTCAAACTTGACTTAATTGATCAAATAACATTTCAAATTTGGTAAAGCTAATTTCTCAATCATAAAGAAATGTTAATCAACAAATATCCAATAATCACATTAATGCTATTAAAATGATTTTAAAAATAATGTAATATTTTAGTAAAGGAAATTTAAAAAAAAATCAGTTGGGACGCTATCCACTTACCTGCAATATTCTCAAATTTCAAAGGTTTTCTCCTTTCAACTCCTATCAAGATCCCCCCTTTTTTCGCACATCCTATAAGAATATTAATAATTGAAACTTTAATTAATTCCCTATAATCTATAAAAAAAAACTTCTTTCCACTTCTAATACAATCCCAATCAACTTCAACCGTTTCAAAATTCCAAATACCAAAATTCATCTCTTAAAATATATCCAATTATCATCATTTATATCTATAAATTCTTCAATATTGCTCAAGCCAAACCGATCTATTTACTTAAAATATGATTATCTCTTAGGCTTGCCTCAATAACCTTAGGTGCATTACTATCAATTATTCAATTAAAACTTTCTAATCTTAAATCTCTTGTTCAGTAATTTATCAACAACTATACCATTCCCAAGAATTCAACTTACATATTAACTTCATAATCAAATTTCTTTGCAAGGTTTAGGTTCATGGATCAATAACATTCAAACTAGCCATACTTCTCTTAAGAGTCAATAAAATTTTAAAAAAATACATATTCAAGCAATCTTCTCCTGACAGACATTTTATCGAACACTTATAATGTATTAATTCACAAACTCATACCAAGCCTCTTCCCTTTTCCTCTCATCTCCCACAAATTACAATATTGATTTTGAAATTAATCAACCAACCCAATTTCAATCCTTTAATTGAAAAAAAATCAGTTACTCTTTAAAAAAATTAAATCTAATTCCTCCTTCTTCCAGTTCTAGCGTGAATGGATTTATCAACTAAAAAAAATCAAATTCATAACCTCAAGCTGTTGATCGAACAAATTTTCCCCCTCATAACTCGCACAACAGCAATAAAATAAATAAGACATCACAATCAAACCAAGGAGCACAGAAAGAACAATGAAGAAGTGAAGGATTAGAATCTCCCCACCTCATATTAACCACGGCAGAACAAAGAAGGAAGAAGGATGAATCTATCACGCTGTACAGGGGAAGAGGAAAGGAACCTTGTACACTGAACCACAGCAGCTCGGACAGGAGAGGAGAACTATTTTTGACAGCACAAAGCAAGGAGGAAGAAGAATGAACAGTGACGCACACAGACAGAAAACAACGACAACCAGAGAAAGAAAAGCTCACGGTGAAATTTCCCAGCAGCGGTGAATAGAGCGATCGCACCTGTTGACATCGACAAGCTGCCTGGCAGAGGAGGAATAATGACTGACAGCAACCAACTCAAACACAAGTGCAGGGGACCAACTGAATGATGACAGAACAGGGAAGGGGAGAAACTTGTGGCAGCAACGACGAACGGCGCTCTCTAATAAACCCATGCCGGTGCCTTTAAAGATTGAAGAGGAAGGATGGAGAACGCTGTGGACAAGCTGAGATCGAAGAAGAGCAGAGGCGGTGGTTCTGGATTCTTCGAAAATGTGAAGGAGGAGAAGAAAAGAAAATGACGCGTTTTTCTCTGCATTTGACCAGGTAAGGAAGATATAAATATAAACTTTAGAAAATTGCTAAAATTACAAGAGAGAGCCCAGTATTCCTTCTAATAACATAAAAAAAATATGGACATTTTGGTAATTTTTTTACAATCTTAAACTAAATAAAATTAATCTATTCTTTTTTAAAAAAATTAAATGTTATACCTTCAAGTAAGCTATTAGCATAAGTTTCACTAACTCACCCATCTCCATTTGCCATAATATTAATTTAAATAAAATATAAATTAGGAGGGTTTTTTTTTTTAAGGTCATTACAAGTTATAATAAATTAAACTGGTAGCTTGATGAAAAATTTCCCTAGTCTTTATTTATTGATTTAAAAAGTAAATATTTTATTTTGTTAGTATTGCAAAATTACTGAAAAAAAAAACAGCTCTGAAACATATATATATATATATATATATGCACTCACACTCCAGTCTCTCCTTCGTATCCATTGTCGATTTTTCTAGAACCCAGTGGCGTGCGCACAGAGAGAGAGAGAGAGAGAGAGCTCCGATCACATCTGTATTCTCCCGCCTCCCTTCTCCGTCTTCAGCCGCTGCCAGTGTGGTTGCAAGTGTTGTATGTGTGTCAAAAGTGTGTGTGTGTCAAAGTCCCACATTGACTAAAGGAAGACATCTCCTAGTGAATATATACTAAGGAATGAAGTGGGCTAGTAAAATGGGCTTGGAGGAGAAGTGGCCTCGCGCACATGAGACAGGCCAACTCAGGGCAATCGCAGTTGAAATCAGCCGATTCGCCCCCCCTGCGCGCAAGTTCAAGAGGCACTGGGTTCCTTTTACCGGGTTATTTTTACAAAAAATGGACATTGATGCTGACAGAACAGATAGAAAGGTTCTCGTCTTCTCCTCTGGTCTTCTGTTCATCTGTTTTCCCTCGTAGCCTCCGCTGTTCTGTTTCCTTGCTCCGCCGCAGGAAGTGCTCGCTTAATCCTGGGGGACTGCCGGTCTACCGTCCAGGTGTACCGGAATAGTTCTTAAGGATAGTGTTCATCCGGACACGACTCGAGCAATCTCCTCTGCATTTGCTGTTTTACCAATAACCCAGGTGTCGCTGTACACATCTGTCGCCGGTGTAGCCAACAGCAAGTGGCCGTTCGTCTGCAGCAGGGAGTTCTGTCAAGGTCCCAGATTTTCTCCTCCCCTGCATTGCTGTCGGGCCTTCTTCCTCTTCCTTCCTTCTGCATCGCAGGCCTCTTCCTTCTTCCTTAGATGCTACGTTGTGCTGTGCTAATGTTGTTGAGGGAGCTTCAACTTCTTCCCGTTGTTTATTTTCTTCGTGCAGCTCGCCAAGGTCTCTCCCTATTCTGCGTCGTCCCTGTTTCTGTGGTGCACTGACTCCTTCCCCTTCTATTTCTTCACTGTCGCTGAACTGATTAAAAAGAGCTTTGAATTTTTCTTCGTGCTCCATCATGATTGGTTTGAGGTGAGGATTCAAATTTTTTTCTCTTCCACTTTATGGAATTCCTAAGTCTGACAATGGGACATCGTTGTTTCTTTTTGACTCCTGGAATTATGTAATGTTTGGGAGTTTTGAATCCAAGGTGCGCGCACGCTATAATGATTGAGGCTGTAGAATTTTCCTTGCCTTGTGCTGCTGTCTGTGTTGAGTATGAAGGGGAAATTGGTTTGAGTTGAAACTTTTAGTATAAAGAACAAAAAATTGATGATGTCGTTTTGAATTTATTTGAAGTTGGACTGATTATTGATGCTGATAAATTATTGGGCTAGTGATTGAGGTTAGGAAGCTCCATTGAATGAATTAGAAATTGATGTCTATGTTTATTGAAAGGCCTATGAGAGGATTTTTTTTTCTCTATTTAATAATTTAGCAATGGCCAAAGATATGTGGGAAAGCTTTGTGATACAAACAATGATGTTTGAAAAATTTTGAATTGTTGGAATCAACTATGTTGTGTTAGAAGGAAGTTTATTGAACTTGTAAATGTTTAATAAAATCTTATTAAATATTATAAGATAGGAAGAGAAGAAAACTTGGTAAGATGCTTGTCAGAGGAATTTAACATATAAAGGCAAGATGCTTGTGATGATTGTATTATTGTTAGTTAAATTATTATAGTAGACACTTTATAAAGGAAGCTGAGTTTGAAATTAGGGATATTGGGAATAGGTTTCATAATTGGTAATTCATAAGCTATATTACTATTAATATGTTAGTCTTTAGAATTTCTATTAAATAATGGATATAATGGAAAAAAAAAATTGTTGGAGTTAAAATTTATCTATCTTTCTTTGTTGAATTAAATTGGACTATAGATATTGGGTTGTAAAGTGTATTTAGGAAAAATGACTATAGTATTATTTGGATACTAGAAGATTAAAGACTAAGTATCATTGCAAGAAGATTAAATTGGAAGCAAATTATATTTTGAAACCCTTCAAGTAAGTAAATATTATCCCAGCTAACTTGTCAATAAAAGTCTTTCATTGAAATTATTACATTTTTTGGCATATTATTCTTATTAACAACTATGATAAATATTAGTTACCTTGTTAATTAAATTATGATTTGTGTTAGTACTTTTCTTAAGAGATATACTTAAAAGATTTATGAAAATGATTTTACAAATTTTAGTGTTCCTTTATTCGATAAAGATAATCATGAAAATTCGTGAAAGAGTTTATGAGATATTAGTTATGAATTTTTACACTTAGAAGATTGGTTAGTTTAAATTGATTCATGCGAGTTTGGTATTAAGAAGAGGATTTTATATTTTGAAAAGTGATTATTTTCTCGCATGTTTGAAAATAAATTTGATAGAGACTTTATACAGAATATTGGTTGCTAACAGCAGTTTCGTTAGTCTTTAGCGTGCCTTGGTCAATGACTAACTAGTTTGATTTTTGTGGGCTCTGTTCTTACGTTTGTTATTTCATGGGCCTTGTACTTGTGTTTGTTTCGTGGCTTTGACCGCGTTTGGTTAGCATTATCCTCGTGGACTGTGTGTCCACATTTATTTCATGACTTTGGTCGCGTTTGGTTAGCATTACCTTCATGGACTGTATTTTCACGTTTGTTTCGTAGCATTGGCTGCGTTTGGTTACTTACCCTTGTGGACTGTGTGTCTACATTTGTTTTCATGGTATAAGTCGAGTTCAATTATTTACTCTTGTGGACTGTATGTTTACATTTGTTACCTATTCTGTTAAGTCCTCAAAATTTTAAATTTTTATTAACCTGGGTGTTTGAAATTCCATTACTTTCAATTAGTAAGTGCACTACTTGATTTACATATGAGTAATTTGTTTTCTTCAAGCATGATAAAGCAATTTCAACCCACTCTCAATTTATGGTTATGATTATGATTTACAGATTTATTAAGTTTATTATATTGAATTATCATTTTTTCAATTGTTTTACATAATTGTTTGAGTTTATTATTTTTATTCTTTTAAATTTTATTTTTTAGGGATACTATTCATTGAAAAATATTTTGGTCTTAGATTCATTAGTTAATGCTGAATCTTCTATGAATCATTGAATAGTTTATTACTGACTAAGAGGCAGAGGAACTGTAGATTAAGCTTCCTTTTGACGTAAAAATTGAATTGTAAAATTGTATTCTGTAAATTAAATTCTAAGAGCTCCATATAGGCTATAGTTAGGGTCTTTATTTTGATATATATTTCTTTTGCTAGTTGAAAAGAGCTGAGCTCTTACTTGTTATGATATTTGCTTGAAAATTTGTGTTGTAGAAATTTAGGAGATCTTATGTAAATGGGAGATTTTGCCAGAATTTCCATAAAAATATTGAGGCTTTGTTTTAAATGAAAAAGAATTTTCATAAAAAAAATTAAAAATTTTTTTGAATTAGGCTTAAGGGATGTGTTTAGGTGCATATTTCATGTCGGTCATTCCAATATTTTGGAGTGTGACACAAACCTAGAAAAGAATCATGCATTTAAGGTAAAAGGTTACCTTAAGACCTTTCGAAAAATTAGACATATTTTTCATCGTTCTTAATCACAAGGTAACAGGATAATATTAATCTTTAGTATTCCGCCTTCCCCTTATATACTCTAATAAGAAGCCAAATCACCATAAAAGATCATATCTAAGACTTCTCTTTGAACCAGAAAATATTTATTAAAAGGTTCTAGTAGGATTAATGATCCAAAACCTGTTGCAAAAGTCTTTAAGGTAACCTTTCAAATGAATTATATAGGAAGTAATGCCAGTAAAATGAAAATATTGGCTGTGAATTGATGTGAAACAACCCTAGTGAATACGAGTGAAGAATATGACTTACGGATGGCAAGTGGAGAAAGTTTAATTTATTAATTACCATTATATAATAAATATATATAAGGCAAGAAAACAACATTAAAATTATACCAACATCTGATGCAATGTTAGAGAAGTTCTGATCCCAATATTAAAATGAACCTGACAATAGTGCGTTGAGGTCTCCAAGATCCATGTATTCATAGATCAATGCTTTGACATCGTTTTCATCACAAAACCCAACAAGTGAAACCAAGTTTCTATGATGGATGACTGTTAAGAGTTGAGCCTACAAGTTGAATGTTAGCTACATCATTAATTATTAAAAAGAAAGTCCACCCAACATGAACATGTTCAATATTGAGTGATTAAAAAAATTGAAAACTATTATTTGTCTTTTATTTCTAACCTCTAATTGAAATTCCTCATACCCTTGCCTTGAAGATGGAGAAAGTAACTTAACAGCAACATGTGTATCATCACTTAAAGTGCCGAGGTAAACTTTCCCAAACCTTCCTTCTCCAATAGTAGTTTCGAAATTGTTTGTGATACATAGAACCTCAGAGCAAGAAAAAGCTTGATTTTTTGGTTTTAGAATTTCCATCCTTTTCGGAGATTCAGTAGACAAAACTGCATTGGTAAATGAATGTCTTGACAGTTCATGAATCCATAAATTAAACAAAGAGATTAACAT